CTCTCCCATTTACATTATTTAAGTTCCAGCGAACTTTCTTTGTGAGTGGCTTTTTCTTCAGTAAATTGTGTGTAGAAATAAATTTACTTAAGCAATAGTAAGGCATCAGCCCCTAACTGTTAATTAAACCATCCCTGATGAAAGAGAGAGAGAGAGAGAGAGAGAGAGAGAGAGAGAGAGAGAGAGAGAGAGAGAGAGAGGTCCCTGTGTTTTCTAAGTGATGTGATGTTACAGGCAATAAATAGAGTCAAGTGTGATAAAGAGAATTTCAAAAGTCCCAGTCCCTACTTGTCTGGGCACTTTCACCAGAGTCATTCTGGCGAACACTACCCTAGGTGCTAATGTGAAAGCTTTGTGTAGATATAATTAATGATCCAAAATGGTCAGCCTTAAAATAGAATGTCCTCAGGGTCTGCATAGCCAGTTTGTCCAAATCTGTAAGCCCTTTAAAGGAACTGCACTCTTTCTGGCAAAAATAAAAAATAACTGCAAATTGTGAGAAAGATTCAATGGAAAGGACATGGGGATCCCAGTCTGACATTACGAAGAACTTAATCATCCCACAATTTCAGGGGAGAACTTATCAAAACTGACTGACACCTGGATTTCAGCCTTGTGAGACCAGAAGCTCTCACCACTGATGAGTCATGGCCAGAACTCTGAACAGATGCCTAGGGTTTAGGAGGCTGTGTGTGCTATACCTGCTACAGCATCACAAAACTAACACTCTAAGGGAATAATTTTGTGTTTGAATTTTAGTTATTAAAGGAAGCCAAGCTTCCTGGATCATGTCCTATAATGTGTCATGTGACTCCTTTAGTCAAATTTCTATTGCTGTGACAAAAAAGCACCTGATATAAACAACATGGGTGTGAACAGGTTTATTTTACCTCACTCTTTCAGAGCTTTCTGTCCATGCTCACTTCTCCCCATCACTTTGTGCCTGGAGGAACAAAGATGGGTTGCCATGATACTGAAGGAGAGAGAAGGCGGGGCCTCGGTCCCTATCTTGTCTTCAGAGCACACCTTCAACAAACTAATTTACTTCTACTAGGTCCCACCGCATAAGGTCTCAACACTGGCCAATAGGTTGGTGACCAAGCCTTCAGCACGTAACCTTTGCTGTGATAACAATGCTTTAAAACAAGACAGAGTAGCTTTCCTTAAGACTTCCCTTACCCTGTAGCATCCCATAACAAGATTGTTTAACATTATAGTAATGGACTAAACATCCCCTTAACGCAAACACAGAAATAAAGTTTTGACAAAATTTGTCCTTCTTTTCTTGAATTGTGAAGAATCCCTCTATAGGCTAATTTTAATTATGAGTCTAAAAAGGCAAAAAAAAATCATGGTATTCAGAAAAACCTCAGTTTTCAGGTTTGGCATACTTTCTAAATTGCGTTATTAGTAGCTCAGCTGTTTCATTTTTGCTGATGAAATATTAATTAATCTCACATTTGTTCTTTAGCTGTCCTGTTTAATAGTCAGTTCTGAGTTAATAGTATGCTATAAGCCACTGGTCTAGAGACAAGGGAGGAAGCAATCTATTCAGTTTACCATGCAAAATACTCTGAGCAATCTCTTTAGCATACTTAGACCAAAACAGCCACATTTAGAATTTTACCAGATTTTTTTCTTTTAGTGATTGGTTTGAGGCTATTATTAAAATAAAGAAGCCACTTTAGGAGAATTACTGTGATAAACTGTCAACCTAACGTTTATTTTACAAAAGGTGTTTACTGCCATCTCTTGGACTGTCTAAGCATTTTGCTCTCAAAAAAGAACAAACAAATTGGGGTACTGTTTATGGCTAAAATTTCTTTACAAAACAAAAGTCATAAATAGTTGAAAAGCAAAAATTTACTACTGGCCTATACTTACTTCATCAGAAATGTGTTTTATAAAGCATTGATACACACCTGTGTTTCCTTGGATATGCTGAAAGAAGAATTCTGGAAAGTCATAGGAGATCAGAGAGACTGAGATGACCATCACAAAACCATTGTGAAGCTGAGCTCAGTCCTCTGCATATGTTATAGTCTGTGGCTCAGTATTCTTGTGGGACTTGTGGATAGCAGGTGTCTTTGACTCTTTTGGGACTCTTTTGCCGGAACTTGGGACCATTTTCATTCTACTGGGTACCTTGTCCAGCCTTGATACGAGGGTTTGCACCTAGTTTTACTGTAACTTTTATGCAGTGCTCAGTTTATGTCTCTGGGAGACCTGCTCTTTTCTGAAGGGAAACGGAGGAAGAATGGATCTGGGAGAGAGGGAAAGGGACGGAGCTGGAAGGAGCGAAGGGAGGGGAAACTTCGGTTGGGAAGTAATGTATTAGAGAATTTTTTTTAAAAAAAGGAATTCTGGAAACTGAAAGCCAAAACTAATGCATTACCTTAATTTTAAACTTGAAATATTCATACCTACAGCTCCTGCTCCTCATCCTTCTCCCTCCAGCTGTGGCACCTGCAGCTACTTTCCCTGGCATAGAAGCTAAAACTCCAAGGCTGATGCCACAATTCGGATGTTGGTTAACAATGCTAATGCCCAGGAAATAGTTATGGCTCCTCACTAGAAGTAGGTCTACTTTTATCTTACGGACATTATAGAGTTAAAACTAATAAGACAGATGGAGGGGTGGCTAACAGTTAAGAACACTTGCTTCTTCCAGGGGACCTGAATTCAGATCCCAGCACCCACATAAGGGTTGATGGGCTCACAGCCTCCTGTAACTCCATCTGACACCTTCTTCTGACCATTGAAAACTGTCTATCATACACTCATACACACAAAAAAATGAAATTTAAAAAAATGTCAAAGAGATAAATAATTGAAGTAAAACTCAAGTCCAAGTAAACTTTACTCACTTATGAAATTACTGGTAGAAACACATTTCTATTCTGATTCATCTTTTTCATCTACACATATATTCATGCTTAGAAATTAATGAAAATACTTGAGAAAGCTTAGTGTGTTTGTATATGCATGCACAATATTGTAAAGCAAAAGAATACAAAAAAGAAATCGACGAATGATTAAAACAAAAGTAGCTTCTCTCTCAATTAGAAAGGAATCCTCTAACATCATGCAAATACAAAAAGAAAATTAAGTCTGAATTCTGCTTCTCAAAGTAGTGGTAACTGTGGATAAAAGCAAGCGCCACCATCTTCACAGTTACCACTGGGGGGCACTGTGTGACATCTGTACAGACCTCTGCCCGCAATTGCAGTAATGAGCGATTTTGCAAAAGAAAATCTTGTCACTTTGGATTTCTATTTTTAATGTGTTCTATTAGATCATTTGAAAAAGAAACAAAGACACCATTTAATTGCTTCTGGGGTTGTGAAATTCCCTGGGAATTTGAAATGGTCCAACTTTAAAGGAATTGTGTTGCATTACTCAGTATTGAGGATACACGTGAATAGAAATTATCTGCTCTCTCAGCAGGCAGAGCATCTAAAACGAAATTTGTAGAGAACATAAAACTGATAAGTGTGATATGCACATCTGAGTCTGAACTTCCTGAAGTAGTAAAATACACATTGCTTGACTTCTTAATTATGTAAGCAAAAAAAAAAAAATAATGCAAATGAACACAGTCTTTAAAAAAAAGTAAATGAATAGAAAGAGAACCATAGTTCTTGTCACCAAGAGAAAGAAGAAATGTGTTGTTACTGCTGGCTTACAGCCATAACCTCTTCGTGACACCTGGTAGATATTGTTGAGATGACAAATGACAGTAGCATGCTAGATAGTGACAAGCTCCAGGCTACAGACTATATCCAAGGTAGCTTCCCTAATTGAAGATATGCTGTTTAAAGTTCTAGCATGAAAATGCACAATATCTCATTGGTCATGCTCCATATAGACTGTGTGTTGTGATGGTGTGATTAAAAATATAATTAATTGTTAAGATACATTAGTTTTGTTTCTTTATTTTCTCCTTTGTGGTAACTGAAAATTCTGAAGTTTCCTCTAAGGCTCACATTCATGGCATGCTTTACATTTCTGTAGAATGATTCTGTGAAAGCATTTAAGGCTTAAATATCATAAATATAGCATTTATTGGCTCATTTCTGAAGATGGGAAAACATTCATAGCTTAATAGCTATATGGTAAGCCGATTTTTAAATGTTTTATTATATTTAATTGGGGGGCCATGTGTGGAGGTCAGAGGACAACTTTTTATCAATTTTTTTATTTAAATTAGAAACATGCATGCTTCACGTGTCAATCCCAGCTCCCTCTCCCACTCCTCCTCCCTTGTCCCTCCACCAATCCCCCTAGTTCCCCACCCAATCCCCACATCATTCCCCAGGGAGGGGGGGATCTCCAAAGTCTGTCATTTCATCCAGGGCAAGACCTAGGCCCTTCCCCATGTGTCCAGGCTGAGAGAGCATCCCTCTATTTGGAATGGACTCCCAAAGATCATTCATACACCATGATAAACACTGATCTACTACCCAAGGCTCGAGTGACTTGTGTGGCCTCCTCCCTGGCACTACATTCGTGGGGTCTGGATAAGTCCCCTGTTGGCCTCACAGCCATCAATCTTTGATTCAAGAGCTTCCCCTTATCTAGTCAGCTGTCTTTGTGGGTTTCATCATCATGGTCATGACCGCTTTGCTCATCACTCCTCCATCTCTGTCACTAGGTTGCAGGAGTTCAGTTCAGTGTTTAGCTGTGGGTATCTGTCTCTGCTTCCATCAGTCCCTGGATGAATGTTCTAGGATGGCATATAAGGTAGTCATCCACAGGACAACTTTTTAATCACTTTTCTTCTTCCACCATGTAGGTCCCAGAGACTGAACTCAAATCATCAGGTTTACAGCAAGTGCTTTTCCCTCAAGCCATTTTTCTGGCCCAAATATTTTTAAACAACTCTAAGTGAACAACTGCCTTTATATGATTTCTTCCCTATGTATTCAAAAGACCTGTGAACAAATACCATTTATTTCACCTGGTTATATTACATAGCAAAAGTGAAGGAAATTGACAGACATAATTCAGGTCTTTAATAAATGGCTTGAGTCCATCAAAAGAAAAGACAGGGTCCATCAAATAAGGTTTAAAACACACCCAGCATAACAGCACTCTTCTATGGGCCCAACGAAGCTAACTACTATGCTGTAAAGAAAGCCACAGGAAGAGTAACCAGAATCAGGCCATCAGGTCCAAGGCACCAAACCCTGCCAACTCACCAGTGACTTGTGCAGGCAGAGAGTCAGCCTTCCTTGAGGCTGCAGCTCTGCACAGCAGCCTCTTTGCTGTGACAGCTGAGCAGGACCCAGCCAAGCTGTGGCTGGACGCAGACGGACACACACTGAGCAACTCCTGTTCTTTCTAACTGTAATATTTGTTTGGATGATTTGTTACAGAGTAGAAAACAAATAACATGCCTTTCGGTTGATTTTTTACTCTACTTTTTGTATTAGAACATTACTAACATTCACTGAAATTTGATTTTCCTCGTTCATCTAAGACATATGCACCCTAAGAAGTCAAAATCCTGATAAAAGCAAACACTTTTAGAGTAATACTTTTCCATGACTTTCTTGTATGTGTACACTTTATAACGTGCACAATGGAAGCAAATAAGCAGAAGGCAACTATAGCACACTAAATAGAAACCTCCCAATAGACCTCTAACTATAATAGCCCAAGCATAGCTCTTCAAAACTTAAAGCCATGATGCAGCTTCTTCTCATCCTTCCTGAAGTTCTTAAAGCCTCAACAGTCTTAAAGTCTGCTCACCCTAAATGTCAAAACAAAACTGAATGGTGTGTGGGCAGGGGAAGGGCCTGGCTGAGCCTACAGACCTTGTGTCTGCTAAGTATGCTCGCTGTCAGTAAGCTACCATCTCAACCCAGAGATCAATAGTAAGTGACAAATGGTTACCAGAGTAAGGAAAGCGGGACAATTTTGTGAATTACCTCCACTAATTTCACCATCCATAGAGAAAAGCTATGGGTTTGTCTACTCAGAAAGCTCTCACATGCACAGGATTGGATGTACATAGAAAACAAAAGCAAAATCCCCTCCCTTTGTTTTTTCCCTGAAGTAGGATTTGACTTGCTCCTAACTCTCTCTCTCTTATTTGCATTCACATGTGGTTTCAACACAGGTGGTTACTCTGTTGGCTGGTCTTATGACAACTTGACACAAACTACAGTCATCTGAAATAAGGGAACTTCAACTGAGAAGATGCCTGCATACGATCCTAACTGGTGACTGATGTGAGAGGGCCCAGCCCATTGTCCACCCTTGGTCTGGTGGTCCTCAGCTCTATAAGAAAGCAGGCTGAGCAAGTCACAAGGAACAAGCCAGTAAGAAACACCCCCCCCTCACTTCTGCATCTGCTCTTGCCTCCAGGTCATGTCCTGTCTGAGTTCCTGTCCTGAGGCCCTTCAATGATGGTCATGGTGTTTTATCATAACCCTTAGACAGTTACCCAAGTCTTTTTTATGTTTTCATTTTGATTTTGTGTGTGTGGCGATTTGGATGAGAATGTCTCCTATGGTCTCATGTATTGGAATACTTGGTCCCAAGCTGGTGGCACTGTTTGAGGTTTCAGAGGTGTCATCCTGCTGGAGGAAATAGTCCCTGCAGGTGGGCCTTGAGAACTCAAAGTCTCTTTACTCCCAGTTCACACAGTCTGCTTCGTGCACGCAGTTCAAGACGTAAGCTATTGCTTCCTGTTCCTACCGCCATGCCTGCTATGTGCTTCTCCCTATAATGGACTCTTATCCTTCTGTAACCATAAGCCCAAACAAACTTGTTCTTCAATGAATCACGTTGATCATGGTGTTTTATTACAGCCACACAAAAAGTAACGATGATGACATGTAAGGGTGTTTCACTTGCATGTATGTCTGTTTATTATATGAGTGCAGCCTGGTACTCATCAAGGCCAGAAAAGGGTGTTGATGCCTCTGGAACTGATGTTACAGATGGTTATGAGCAGGCATGTGGATGTTGGGAAGCAAACCCCAGCTCTTTGGAAGGACCCCTGAGCTGTCTCTCCAGCATCCAACCCAGCTCCTTCTTGTTGTGTATCTAAGGATTCAGGTATTATGCCGGCCTGCCACTGTCACCTGGCAAAATGCCCTCAAGCAGTACCCTGGTCAACCCAGGGTTCCAGGACTACTAGTCAGCACACAGGTGCAGAGTGTTGTTATTTTGCTTAAGATTAGAAGTTAGAAGTTAGAAATTAGAAGGGGCAGAAGGAGAAACAGAAGGATGAGCACGAAACAGAAGCTTCAGCACAAGCCATGGAGTGTACAAGCCAATGTTTTATTGTAGCGGAGGGAGAGCGAGAAGGAGGAATGACAGACTTGAAAGAGATGAATGGGGTAAGAACAGAGCAGAAGGAGAGTGAGATAAGAGGGGAGTGGCAGATAAGAGTGTAAGTGGGCAGGGCTCTGTCCTTTAAAGGGGTCCTTTGCACCTGAATGCAGACTGGTTCTCATGGAACTCTGAGCTGGCCAGAGTGCTGCCTGAGTGCATTCTGCCAGGTAACTGGGCAGGCCAGAGTAATGCCTGAACCTTTCATTCCTACCTTTACCAATCAGTAAGAGGAGGTGGGGTGTTAGGCATGGTAGGTTAGGAATAAGGACATCGAGTTCTTAACACTGCTTCCTGCCGACCTGGGGGGCGTTGGCCATCTTTGGGGACCTGAGAAAGCTGCGGTGTTGCCACATCCTGGCGTAGCTGGTTGCTCCATCACAGTCCAGGCTCTACGGAACTCTCTGGCACCTCTTAGACCTGGCAAGATGTTAGCAGAATAGAGGACAAGGTTAAGTTTAGAAAAAAAAATTTCTTCTTAGGTCTTGGTATTTGAGGGGGAAGATCTTAATATGAGGGAGGGGTTCCTGAAGGGGTCCCAAGATGAGGAAAGGGAATCCCAGGACCGGGGAGAGGTTGAATAATATCTGGAGTGAATCTTACCTGTTTGGATGGGCCCAGTTCTGCTCCCTGGAACTTACAAGAAGCCTTTGAATTTGTGAAAGCATAAGTATTAGACATATTAACAGCATATCTATGTTATAAGCGACTTGGCTGAAAGCATTAACATTTTTAAAATTGACAGATATTTTTTAGCATAATGAAAAGTACCTTAATCTTGATCTTGAAGTTATGATCATATAGTGGTATAGTTTGGTGTTTAGTATTCTGTTGGAGTTAGATTAGTGGCTTATCAGAACTTTATTAATATTAAGACTATGAACAGTAGCATAATGAAAGAGAGAAATCTGGAATATATTTCATTCTTTTTAATGTTTCAACTCACTTTATGACATTACCTTCTTATATAGATAAACCTTAGAATACCTGTTCCTGAAATCTGTTTTGTGACAGAGCTTTGCATTGTCTGTTACTTTAAGTTGGCAAAGCTACCAGTAGTCAAAAGCATTAGAGTTCTTGAGGAGGATTAAATTTTACCTGAGTTAATGATCAAAGAATAACAAAGACTCACCATCTGGCTGCATGCACAGCCACGCCCAGGGTCCTCCACAGTTGTTGAAGTCAGAGGCTTTTAAGGACACCTGCCTTCTGATGAAAGCATGGGACCGGTAGATTGGGTACTTTTTAGGAGGACTTCACTACCCCTGACCCAAGAAACGTGGAGAAAAATCGATTCCATTGTCCTCTTGTCCACTGTAGAGTCCTTTGCAGCAGTTGAGGCGAAGGGCAGGATTGGTCAGTGGCCAGCATTGACACTTTTGTGGGCGGAGTTTCTTCAGTGCCCACCATTCTTCTTGGAGGAAATGGGGTGGGGCCAGCGGCTGGCCTGTCTGTTATAAAAAAAAAGCTTTAAAAAACACTTAAATGCCATGTTCTCTAGATCTCTGAGCATTTGAGGGCTGTCTGTTTGTTTAGTATATCTCAGCAGACAAAATTTATCTTTAGTAACTTGCCTTAAGCGCATAGGTGGCTAGAGAAAAATACTATTTTGTAATAGCTTCACCTTTGTAGACAACTTACAGGAGGGACTGGGAGGTATGAATATTTTGTTAATTTAAAATAGATCTTTATATAATAATTTTGAAATATTTGAGACTTAGAATAGTTGAAATTAAATTATTTATTAAGTTACCTTACATTCCTTTCAATGGCTGCATATAGATACATTAAACAGGACTGGGGAAAAGGAAGAAGGAAGGACCAGAGTATAATTTCTGATCTGCACATTGTAGCAGACAGACAGATTTAAAGAGACAGAGTAGACTTAAACTGCCGGTGACATGAAAGCAGGTCCGTTGCAGATAGAAGAGGAGTCCTGGAAAGGCCCAGTATTCCATAAATAAGGCGTGCACAACAGGGCCAGTGACGGAAGAAATTAGGGGCAAAAATAAAAGTGCAAATGAATTGTATCTGTCAGCAGGGTTGGCCGGCCAAAGCTGGCTAGACTGAGTGGGTGTGCCTACCGCTAGGTCATGCGGCCAAGATGGTGGCCCCCAGGTTAGACCACTTGGCCAAGACGGTGGCCTCCATAAGCACATTCCCCGTCTGCTGGTGGGAGTGGCCTTTTTTCTGCACGAGTGAGGCAGAAAGATGTGTGACCACTGTAGGTCTAAGACAAAACCGGAGAGATTCCCCTTGGGTCTGAGCAATACAAAACCCTAAAGCCTCAAACCTCATTCGTAGGAAAAAAATGAAAAATTCTCAGAGCGTCCCTAGCAGACGCTAACCCAGCCAGGCCATTGTGAGCTGGTGGCATCCGCATGGAGAAGAAACCCATTGGAAGGGCAGCTGGATGTAAAGGAGGAATTCACCACTCCAAGCTGAATGAACAGGAGAGAGATAAAGCAGGACACTCCTGGGGCAGGTTTAGCCACGGTGAAGAGTGGCGGGAAGCTTCTGTGGCCCCGGGAGTTTTAGCTTGCAGGGAAGAGAAAAGCAAGATAGAACAGTAGAGGCCGCACTCCCAACTGTGGATCACTGGTAGAATGTAGGGTGACAATAAGCAGGCACATGTTTGAGGGGGGGGCCAGCTTCCATGAGAGAGGCAGAGGAGATCCGAAGCCTGTAATCTCCAGCGTCCCAGAGACTAAAGGAGGATGAGTGACAGGCAGCAACTGATTTCTGTGATTTGTCAAACATGGATCAGGGCTAGGGCTCTCGGAGCCGACAGACACGTGGTTCTCCAGAACTGGGATTTTCCAACAATCCGAAAATGAGACCACAGTCTCGATAAGTCCTAACTCATGGGAGCCAGGGAGGGGTGGGCTTAGCAAACATTGTGATAATGGATAGAAGAATCCAGAGATCCTTAGTTGGAAAAGTGACCTTGTTGAAGTTCACAAGGCCCCGGCATCTCAGATTGCACAGGTAGGAGCACAGGAGAAAATGCAGGGAAAACCTGCTTAGTCACATTCACCAAAATGTTGTTATTTTGCTTAAGATTAGAAATTAGAAATTACAAGGGGCGAAAGGTGAAATAGGACAGGAGCTCGAGCGCGGATCCGGGACTAGTGCCATTCAGCACAAGCCATGCAGTGTACAAGCCAATGTTTTATTGTAGCGGAGGGAGAGAGAGAAGGGGGAAGACAGACTTGAGAGAGACGAATGGGGTAAGAGCAGAGCAGGAGGAGAGTGAGATACGAGGGGAGTGGCAGATAAGAGTGTAAGTGGGCAGGGCTCTGTCCTTTAAAGGAGTCCTTGGCACCTACGTGCAGACTGGTTCTCATGGAACTCTGGGCTGACCAGGGTGCTGCCTGAGTGCATTCTGCCAGGTAACAGGGCAGGCCAGCGTAATGCCTAAACCTTTCACAGAGGACCCCTTTAAAAGAAAGACCCGGCAAGACCTGGCTGGTGAAACTCACAGAAACAGTTGACCTGAACAAGGGGGAAGCCAGACTCATGGCTGAGAGGCCAGCAAGGGACTGATCCAGACCCACTGAATGTGAGTGTCAGTGAGGAGGCCTCAGCAATCTATGGGTTTCCGGTACTAGATCAGTATTTATCCCTGGCGTACGAATGGACTTTGGGAGCCCATTCCACATGGAGGGATGCTCTCTCAGCCTGGACACATGGGGGAGGACCTAGGGTTGGTGGGGCATGAGGGAGGAGGGGAGGGAGAAGGAGCTGGGATTGACATGTGAAGCAAGTTTGTTACTAATTTAAATTTAAAAAAAAAAAGAAAGAAAGAAAGACCGTGCCCACTTAGACTCTCTTTCTCCCTCTCTTTCCTGCTGTTCCCCTGGGGCAGACAGGAAAAGTCCTGTCTGCCTCTTCTGTTCTCTCTCTGTCTCTGTGTCTCTTTACCTCTTTTCTCTTTCTCCCCTGCCCCCTTTCCCTTTCTATAACATTTTTCACTAAGCTCTGTCTGCCAGGCATGTCTGTCCCACACCTCAGTCACCCTCGCCTGCCAAGGTTCCCCTGGCGCTTTATCATAACCATGTATCTGAGTAGGTTTGTTAAGCTAGTGGATTTTTTTTTCTGTCCGAGTATTTTGATGTCTGATTCTTGAAAGTAATAAATTCCTTTTTATCAAATCTACACATTTTCTAACTACTTACGGCAAGTCCTGTTTTTACATTCTGTTGCATTTCTGAAGGTCCTGTTTGTTGTTTTTGGCACTATCACTGGAAACTTCCATTGGAGAATTCACAACACTGGGTACCTAGCTGCTTCAGGCCTGCGTTTGCCACTCCACCTTACTCAAATTCACATCCTTCATTTAAAAAAAACCTAAAATAAGGTGAAACAACACAAACACACTAGTTCTGCTTACTTAAAACTTCACTGTGCTCAACCAAAGCACTTAACAAATGCATGCTGTAACCAACAGTAACACACATTCCTTTGCAAGGTAGTCGAGAGCTGAGTTGGCTGAACTATGGCCACATTGCTGTCCAGAGCTGAGCGGGAGAGTAGAGGGAAGGGCAGGCACAGTTTTCAGTTTCAACTAATATTTAAGAAGTTGCTAAACTCTGACCTTCTTGGAGATGAATGTGGTATTGAAGATTATTCAAGAAAAAGAGAGGCGAAGTGAAAGAAAGATAGAGGTCCTAAGAGCAAGAAATAAAAGCCCTGCTATTTTTACACTGAAAGTCATGAATGTCCTTGCTTTGGTTAGCTTCAATTCATAGTACTGGTGATATTTATTTTGCTAATTACAGCATAGAAAGGTTTTTCTTCAAGTGAACATCTTGTGACTCCTATATTTATCTGAGTTCTTTTTAATCTCTGTATGAGCTGAGCTACTATCTGAGTCTGTCTCAGCCAAGCTTATTGGCAACTCCAGTTTATTTGTCAACAACTTAGGAAGCATTCGTTTTAAACTAAAGGGCATCCTAGTCCTTAGATGCAATCCAGCCTCAGTTTCATAAAGCCAATTCAATACAGTCATCCGCCTCTAGGTTAACTTTTGGAACCAAGATCATTCCTGCTGGTTAAACTGTGCTTTTGCCTTATTGTGAAGAACAAACAAACCTTGGGAGTACTACCCCATTTATGCCCTTAGTAATACAATTAATTCATACAACTTCTATTTCCAGTTTCATACTAAAGTATAACATGTCTGCTTTTGTGTAAGAATTATTCTTCCAGATTGGTGGAAGTCTTTTTCAAATGTAAAAAAAATTGTCAATGTTAAAAATTGTATTTCTAAACATATTAGAAAACAAGAGAAAGGGGGGTAGATGAGTTGTACATGAAAAGTCATCACAAATTTCTATAAAATCAGAGAATTAAAAAGTAGGAAGGATTATCTATAAGAATTAGTATGTTTATAAAGACTGTTAATTTATTAAAACTACTAAAAAAGTGTCCTATTGATCCCTTGGAGAACTTTATTAGCCTTTATGTTTTTCTACAAAAACAAAAGCAGATAAGTAATTTTAGAAATAAAAGACAATAAACAGATGTTTTCTACAGAAGGAAGAATTCTGCCTTGAGACTATCAATTATTAACTGAGTTTTGGGGGAGGCTTAATTTTCCTTATTTTTATCTTAGCATTTCATACATACATAGAATATGTTTTTCCTGAATCCAATCTCCCCATTTTCCCCCCCAACTCATTTCATAATCCCCAATACTTTTCTCTCCCAAGTTCGTGCTATTTTTTAAAGTTCACTAAGGCCAGTTAATTCTTCCAGTATGTTCATATATACTGTCTATAGGACCATCCATGGGAGCATGGGTTTCTTCAGTGATGTAACAACTGATAAGTTGCCCATGCTCTGGTAAATAACCCCTCATTCATATTCCTGTAAGCAACTCTAATTTAACTCATTAGATCATAAAAACAGACACAAAAGTAGAAGTGGGACTAGCTGGTCAAGGGAAAGGAGTCAGTATGCATGAGAAGGGAACAAAAGAGTGATGAGCAAAAGTGATCAGAACACATATTATACAGGTATGAAAATGTCAGTGAAACCCATTATTACATAGTTAATATAAAATAAAAACTACTAGTGGTTACTATTCTGTCATTGTCTACTGTTCTCTAAAGGAAAACTTTCTATCGGTGCTTAACAGTGGTACCCCATCCATTTGAGGGTCTGTAACTAATGTCATTAACTAGATAGCTTATAAACAACAGGCCGGGCTCCAAAGCAATACAGAGAAACCCTGTCTCGAAAAACCAACAAACAAAACAAAAATAAACAACAGAAATTTATTTCTAATTATGCTGGCGGTTGGCAAACACACAACCAAGGAGAGAGCAGATGTAGTATCTGGCAAGAGCCAGTGTTCTGTTTGGTTTTGTTTTGTTTCCGTAATGAATTTCAAAGTGACACAATATTCAAATCATAATAAATATCACTAGATGTCAATGCTTTGACT